TAAGCATGAAACAGACTGTTACCACTGAGTGTTGATCTCAAAGTCCACTTTTATATTTACATATAGTCTATCCCTGATATTGAGCACTTTCACCCATAAATATTGCGTACCATAAAATTACATACCTCCACTAACTCATGATACCTAAAGCTAAAAATTAATTTTTAAGAGTGAAAAAAAAAAAAAAATACTTAGCTCTATTTCAAAACTAATTTAAATTGACTGAAAGGAGTTTTTTTTGCTAAAAAATTTGATTTTAGCAGTATTTTTTAGCCTCTGTTTATTGCAATGTAATTCACTTTAAAAAATCTTCCAAAAATAAAATATATTTTTCTGAAACTTTATTTCAGGAATATTAGCTGATTTAAAGTATAATTAATCTGATTTGAAACAAATATTAAGTTTAAAATATCATAGAAATGCATTTTTAACCCAACAGTAGCTGTGCATTTAAGGTGTTGATGTGCTGACAGCATGATGACAAATCTAATGTTGTTCTAGGTGTAAAACATAATTGAAGAAAATGACATGAGTGCCTTTTATATATAGCTTTTCAAGTATTCAGTAATTTTTAAAATTTAGGAAAATATTCTCTGTAATCTAATATTTTATTGAATTTTTAAAATTTTGGCTTTAAATTTACTGTAGTTATTGTTCTTCTTTTATGATATTGTCTATGGATGCCCATATCTATAAAAATAGACACATACAAAAAAGATACAAATTTAAAAAAAATATTGGCTTTTCTATTTATGATTAGTAAATATAGGAATAAAAGGCTGGAATTAATACAGAATTTAAAAGATTTAAAACTTGATATATCATTTTAATTAAATTTTTTTGAAAATGAAAATTATTGTAAAAATTCATTATTCATTGAAAAAATTATTTTCTTAAGACAATAGTGTCCTTATTATATCTTATTTATAAAAGCAATTAAATGTTTTTCTAATCAAATAATGTCTTAGTTTAATTGCATTTTTTATTTTACAGTTGTGAGCAGACTTCTGGAAAATGATGATGATGTTTCTATTCTACAAAAAACAAATTGATGATTTAAATTCTCCAAGGAGTCCTGATTTTTAACTAATATAAATATGAAGAGGTTGAAATTTTGATTTCTCAAAATTTCATAAAATTACTCCTACTTAATTTTTTTTACACCAACAAATGTAAAATAAATAGTTTTCACAAGATTTTCTAAAAAAATATTAAAAAATAATTTAATTCATTTGTTAATAAGTCCTGAAAATTTCATTGAAATCTGACAATTATTTGATTTTTGCAAGAATTTCCCCCAAAACATGTTTTTAATGCCAAAAAAGGGACTAAAATTTTCAATACTAACCTTTGACCCACTTGCTGACACAAGAAAAACAAGATTTTTAACCAAAATTTTGAACATGCTAGAAAGAATTAAAAAATTTAATAAAATAATAAAAAAATACTTTGGTCTTTCCTCTTAATAATAACTAACATTTTAATGCAAAAATTTTGTTTTTCTCAAGTTTGGGACCTTTTATTATTATGGTATACTCTTTTTTAGTGAATTTTTGGAGGTGGTACCTACTTAAAATTATATATATATATATATATATATATATATATATATAAATAATTAAGTTATGAAGAACTTGGTAATCTGTATAGGTAATCCCAAGGAGGATGAAATCCTGAGAGCTCAATATAAATCCAGAGCTAATATTTTAAAGAAAAACAGACCACTTTAAGGTACTGTTATAATAATTTATTTCACCAGAGCCCTTTGAAAAGATGCTGGATCATCAGATAGCACTTCCAAAAATGAAATGAAATGAAAAAAAGGGCTCTGGTGAAATAAATTATTATAATGGGACCTTAAAGTGGTCTGTTTTTCTTTAAAAGATATATATATATATATATATATATATATATATATATATATAGGAAATGGATTAAATCTGACATATTGCAATGTTTAAATTATTCTGTTTAATATATATATGTATACATGTTGCCTTTGATCTGGAAATACAATCTGACTGCTGACCTGAGATGGAACAAATACATTGAGTCAATTGCTTCTTCCACTGCGAGGAAAGTTGGCTCTCTGTGCCGCGCCAGGAAATTTTTCTCCCCGGAATCGATACTTCAAATATACAAATAAACCATTCGGCCTTGCATGGAGTATTGCTGCCATATATGGTCTGGGGCACCTTCTGTTTACCTCAGAGTTCTTGACAAGATCCAGAGACGGATATGTAATATAATTGGCCCTGATCTGGTGTCTCGTCTATAGTCACTCTCTCACAGACGTGCCATCGCCTCTCTCTGTCTTTTCTACTTTCATGGTAATTGCTCGGATGAGCTGCTTTCAGTGGTTCCCAGACTCCATGAATTCAAGCGCCCTACGAGGCTGGTATCCCGCTCCCACCCTTACACTGTAGAAACTTTTAAATGTAGCCATCTCTTCTACTCCAATAGCTTCATACCTTGCACCTCTTGCCTGTGGAACACCCTTCCTTATTACTGTTTCCCTGAGAGCTATAATCTCCAACTATTCAAATGTAATGTCAATCGACACCTCCAGTTACCTTGATCTACCCACTATCCTTCTCCTCATCCTTTCTTCTATCACTCCTATCTGCTCTTGCTGCAAATCTTCTGCAACCCCCTGCATCCTAGTGGCTTCACGCCTTGCTCGGGGCGTAATGCTTAAAAAAAAAAAAAAATGTCTGTGCAACCTTGTGTCCATTACCATTTGCATGACCATATCTAAAAATCATATCTGCCTGCTCACAATATGAATATCCTGCCATTGTTAAATAGAACACATCTCAATTAACTCATTATTACACACATTAAACATTGAAGACAGACTAACCATAAATGTACATGAATGATAAATGTAACCTAATCTAAGCACAGCGCCATTTACTGTAAACTTTCTTTAAACTTAACTAAAAAATGACAGATTTGAAGATATATGTTTATATGGACTTTTGTTCCCATTTTGGTGTGAGGAATCCACCCCAAAATTTGTAAAAGTATTTTTGATATACCCTGTATGTATGTCTGTGTGGGTGCAGGTAATGTGGAATGAAATGATTAGTGTCAGAAGAAGAAATCAGTGAGCTAAGTTCAAGTTCTGGTTAAGTTCATTAAAATCAAAAAGGCCATCTATTTCTTTTCCCACCAGCTATAGCTTAAATAGCAGGGCAGATTGGGCTCTCTAATCTTCACTGGCAAGCATTCAAGGAGAAGGATAACTCTAAAGAATTCAATCTTGAGGAGAGTTATTTGGAGATATTGTCGTACGCTGTACTCCCTTTCTCTGTTATCACTTCTTCCAAACAGTGTGGCTGGTTGTGCACAAGACTTCACCATTATAGTTAAATCATATGAATAGGTAGGTTGGCAGTTCAGTAATCCAGTTGTATAAACGGAATTGTATATATATATATATACTAATAATAATGTTGGTAATTGGCATGTTTATTCAATGAATAAGTATGTAAAAATTGGATGTTGATAGCTCAGGGGTAAAAGTATGTAAAAATTGGATGTTGATAGCTCAGGGGTAAAATCTATGACTGATGCCAAATTGGACAGTTTTCAATCTCGGCTTGAGGCAATCAGATGTCCTCTCACATTGATGAGTTGTGATACAGCGAAACAGTTTGTTTGTGGATGACATTATATATATATATATATATATATATATATATGCACATATATATATATATATATATATATATATATATATATATACATATATATATATATATATATATATATATATATATATATATATATATATATATATATATATATATATATATATATATATATATATATATATATATATATATATATGCACATACACATACATATATACAGGTGTGTGTATGTATGCATATATATATATATATATATATTAAACAAAATAATTTAAAAATTGCAATATGTCAGATTTAATCCATTTCCTAAATATATATGTATACATATATATATATATATATAAACATAGTTTTAAGTAGGTACCTTCTCCAAAAATTCACTAAAAAAGATAGTACCATAATAAAACGGTCCCAAACTTGATAAAAACAAAATTTTATACCCATGCATGTATAGTTACAGAAATATGTACACAGTTTAATGATCACAAAAGCATTTGCACTGTAAATATTTATTTTTCAACATATTCTCATTTTTTTCTGTGTACTTAATTCTCTAATGAATATTAATCATATATATTGAACATTATGCAATGAAAATTTCAGATCAAAATTCAATTAATAATTATGTCAAGCAATAGGTTTTTGATCAATGCTCAATTGTTCACACAACACATACATGTGTATAGAAGTAGAAAAAATATTTGTACTAAGAAACTAAAAGTAAAAAAAATCTTAGAAGTAAAAAAATCATAAGACATATATTATGATATAAATATAAATTAAAAATATTAAAATATATTCGTTTAATATTTAACACTTAATATTATTGCAAAAATTGATTGGCGTATATCTTTATATTTTAGCTGTATATATATTATGTATTAAACTTTCAGAGTGTACATTTGTTAACATTTTTGTGTATATCAATACCATGAAAATGAATAGGTAGCCTAAGTAAACACTTCAAAAATCCATCTTCTTTTTTTATTTCCATTTTTCTTTTTTCCTCCATTTTTCTTTTTTCCTCCATTTTCCCTTTTTCACAAATTATTTTTTGTCAAATCTGACTGCCAACTGTTAGGCTTGCATGCAAATCCATTATAGACAGATACACAGAGAAAAAGATTACACACAACAATTTTATCATATTATTGTGGTGCTTTTAGATGCAAAAATATATGCCAATGTGTGTTTTTGTATGCTTTTATTAGAGGTTCTCTCAAAAGGTGAAATGAATTAAGAAGTGCAACTTTGCTCTTTGATATCTATCTCAATCTGTTCACATCTATCTATCTGTTTGAAGATCCTCATCTGTTCATATTTATTTTTAACTCTTTATAGCTATCTATCCATCTATCTCAATTTCATCATATCTATCTATCTATCTATCTATCTATCTATCTATCTATCTATCTATCTATCTATTATATATCTGTTCATATTTATCTATCTACCTATCTGCTCATATCTGTCTATCTATCACTCAATCTGTTCATATCTATATCTATTTTAAGCACCTCATATCTATCTTGTCCCTTATATCTATCTGAAACTCCTTGTCTATCTATCTATCTATCTATCTATCTATCTATCTATCTATCTATCTATCTATCTATCTCAAACTTTTCATATTTATCTCCTGATTGATCAATCTCAATCTCTTCATATATACCTGAAGCTCCTTATATTTATCTATATCCCTATCTATTTATCTATCTATATGTAATCATATCTATCTATCTATCTATCTATCTATCTATCTATCTATCTATCTATCTATCTATCTATCTCAAACTTTTCATATTTATCTATTGATTGATCAATCTCGATCTCTTCATATATACCTGAAGCTCCTTATATCTATCTATATCACTATCTATTTATCTATCTATATGTCTCATATTTATCTATCTATCTATCTATCTATCTATCTATCTAGAGAGAGAGATATATATAATTATAGCAATCTCTCTTTCTCTCTCTCTCTCACTGTATATATATATATATATATATATATATATATATATATATATATGCAAGCAAATATATGGATATAGATCCGACAGTATGAAGAAAAAATATACGAAAAAAACAAACAAAAATCCTTTATATACAATTATGCTGTTTTAATATATATATATATATATATATATATATATATATATATATATATATATATATATATCTTTATCTATCTCAATCTCTTCATATCTATCAGTCACTGACTGATAAATAACTGAACAAAATGTCTGTATATGTCTGTTTCTAGTTGTGTTACACAACCAGATATGGCACTTTCAGTAGATCAAGGATTAGCATGCTTCAGTCGTGTAGTAAATTTGATATTCACTGGCTGCTCCATTATTATAGCCATGTGTCAGACTAAATCAAAGGTGGTAAATAACCACATAGACACACTCCTAAATATATACACACAAGAATTCCCATACACATAGACATGCACATGCATACACATATATAACTACATATCAACCATATGCATACACGTACATTTATACATACAGAAAATATATCAGAAAAAAATTAATAATCAATAGAAAGAAATTTGTACATTCCTTCACAAATCTATAGACTGACATAGGTGGGTAGGTATATATATATATATATATATATATATATATATATATGCAAGCAAAGTTTCAATGGAAAAGTCAATAGCATACATGATTGCAATGTGTCAGATTGGTGCTTGTAGATAGGTAAAAATGGTTATACCTCAACAACTTGGAAAAGGAGAAAATAGTTCTACATGATCATCACATATTGTTAAACAGACAGTAATTTTACTGACTTAGAAAATCTACTAGATTGAAACTACACATACACATAAGACCCCAATTAAACCTGCGTATGTGCATGCTGTATATATTTCTACATGAATATATGCACTGAGATATATTTCAACATAAAGCCTGATTGTAAGAATGATGGTAAAATACACAGTTCTACATAAACTGATCTGTCCATAGATACAATCACAGACAGGTGTATACATACAGGATGCGATGGATAAATTGTCATCTAAATTACGCAAAAAAAAAAAGAAAATAACACTGACATCTCATTTTAACAGATATATTTACCAAAATTACATAAAAATATCTTGAAATACTAAAGAGTAAATTTATTCAATAAAATCGCCATTGACTTCAACCACGGCCTCCAAATGACTTTGGAATCTCCTGTAACTCTTCTGAACAATCTCCTTGTTTAAGTTGGTAAGTGCTGCCATAATCCTTGCTTTCATTTCACCTTTGAGGTTACACAGTTTTGTTAATCTCTTGCTACAGACAATCAAATCAAGTAGGGTGCAGTCTGGAGAGTTATGTGGCCAGATCTAAGGGGTGATGTGGTCACAGAAATTGTCTGACAGCCATGACTAGATTCTCCTGCTTGTGTGGAATGGTGCAGAGTATTGTTGCCATAAGGTATTCCAGCAGCTGCCCTCTTGACCCAGAGCAGCACTACCTCCTAAAGACACTTGATATAGGACTCCGTGTTGAGTCTGAGACCCTCACCAACAAATTCGAGAGTTCTTTTCATAGCAGAACAATCAGAGTGAGTTTTCTAAGCTGCTGTACCTTTGTAATTACCATTAGACTCATCCAACTCTTTCTGAATTCTCTATACTCTCCTTAGATTGGCACCCAAACACTCTGAAATGTTTGTATTGGAGCTTCCGGCAAGAATGCCAAGCAGTACCGCATGTAATTTCCAAATTTCTAGCAGTGTGCAATTCATCATGGTGCTCATTTACTCACAGATGGTACCAAACTGACCCTACAATGCTGTGCAGTTGACAAAATCCAAAACAAACAAT